ACGCACCTCCTCTGAGTACCACCCAAGGTATGTCTGGCAAGCATTCAAGTACCACACAAGTTGGCAAAGAGGTAGGGGTAGGGACAAAGACTTTCATAAGGGGGGTCATGTTTAATACCTGCCCCCTCAAGACCGCCAATGCTCTCATTACCTTGAAATGACAAGTACAATTACACATGGACACAAAAATCATCAGAATACCTGGAGAGGTGGGTATATCCTCTCTGAAAGGCTGCACAACTGCAGAGGACCTAAGACTTCCCTTCTTCTGAAATAAACTGAGTCATCTTTGACTAGAGTAGCTGCTGGACCACAAGCCAGGAGCTCCGAGACACTCAGACCCCGAGGAGAGGAACAGCACCATCCATGTGAATCACATCCTGAACTGAGGAAAAGCAACTTCCATGTAAATTGTACCCTGAGGGGAGGAATTGTATTATGCATTCAAATCAAGCTGCCCATTAAACACAAAGCTAAAGAACCAGCCAGTGGCGGTCAAATTGGACATTTTTTTCAGTTTATGAAAGAGGTCGAAAAAGAGGTAAATTAGCAGGGGTGGAATGGGGCAGACAACTGAACCTGACGTCCTGAACGTTTGTAGTTCTAATGGAAAGGGTGACGTTGCTGTTCTTATCGTGTTATTTATGTATGATATTATGCATGATTACTGCTTCAAGTATTATTAAGTACTATTAAGTATATTACATATTAAGTACTCTGTAAAGCTAAAGAAATCTGTATTATAAAAAGTGTATAAAAGCTATTGCTAAGCCAAATAACCTTAATTGATAAAGAAATGGGTTAGATACTGAAACAGAAAAACAAAAATGATGGTAAGACAGGGAAAGAATCCAGCTGTAATATAGGTTGTAGGGCTGAATGATTGAAAACAATTCTTTTTTGAAGTGGGGAATTTTTGAAAGACATATTGTGATATTTATAAAACAAAGAGTTGAAAAATGACCCAAAGTAAACTATAGTCAAAAGACCTTATTGCTATCCAGCAATAAGGTCTGTCTTTAGTGGGAAAGGCAAGTCATTAGTTCTCATGCTGGTTAACAACTGAATTCTGAGATGTAAATGATCAAATAAGTTGGTAGTGTTGCCACAAGTTATGCCAATAGCCACAAAGCAGTTGCAACAAATTACTTGCCTTTGCTCAACATCTTCTCTGCGGAATCCAAAATACGTCCATACAGCAGTAGACAAATATCTTTTGGTGACCGGTTCTTATTCACTTTTCTTCTCCTTAGTCATTTTTGATCAATTTCCACACTGTCTATGAGTCCAACAGTAGGGACAAAAATGATTATGACTGAATTGGAGAATACTTGCACATCTCATGCAAAAGCAGCAGCAGTGAGCTTTAGACTTATTTTAACATATACGAGATAATGTTGAAAAGCAACAATCATTAAAACTGCAGAGCTTCCTAAATTGTGTTTCCTATGACAGACTAAAATGTTTTAGCGTAACATACTGATGGTCTCAGCCCAGTCGATGGTTGCGATAATTGTGATGTGACAAGTGCATGTGCATAACATGCAGTGTTGATCCTAACATCACACATAGTGCAGGTCTAGTACTGTAGGTTGCTACGTCTTGCGGAATGTGCTCTGATTTCAGGCTTTAAAAATCAAAAGCACTTCTTTAGGTGCATGGACCAATTTCATTAAGTGCTGTAAGGACCTTAAGGTGACCGTGCGATGGGCGGAGTGACATTCCGGCACTTTCCATCAGCCATGAGCAGTCAGGGTGCCAAGCCAAGTCAGCTGTGGTGACACTGACAGAGCATGCTCTGTGCAACCTCGCTGACCCATACACCTTCACCTTGCAGAGAGGAGAAAGCTGCCAAAACAGATTCCAGTGCTCTTCTCATCTCCCAGAGCTCAGGAATAAATATGGACCAGTGACCTACAGTAAGTTTCCAACAGGGGCAATATGAGAGGGGCTTGTGGGCTGGCTTAGGCAGTGCATAGCAAAGGCTTGAACCTGTTTTCTTTACATTGCACTTCTACGATCGGAGAGCTATGTTCTATTAGAGAGGTGAAGCCCTGACAAAACACGTGGCATGTGGAAGACCACACGTTCACTCACTGCTTCTCCCTCAGGAGTGATGAAGAGGCAACTATAGATTTTAGAAGCTAGTGCCAAAGGTATCATGTTTTCACGTTTTACAGACTGACAATAAAAAGCAAGGCACCCATCCACACAAAAAGAGGATTATGCCATTTAGATTTGTTAATCCCGATATGAAAAATTCACCTGTAAGGGAACTTATAACAATTTAGAGTGAAGGCCTTCCAGATTGCCCCAGGTAGGAATAGAGGAGCATGATCAAATCAATTTTAAAGCAACCTTTTGGTTATAATTTAAAATTGTCTTTAAAATCTTTATAACCAGGACCAAAACATTCTAGACAGCTGTTTAAAATTTGCTGTTTAACCCATTTTATAAGGGTTTTTATCACATGACAGTAAGTCACAGTATATCACGTGCCTTGCAGTGCCATTATGTTGTAAATGCAGTGCATTTTACACACCCTTTCACTGGCGGCTGAATATATAGGGGTCCCCAAGGTTGCCTGTCTACAAAAACGCCAGACAGATTATCCTCCATGCATTACAGCACATAATCTCTCTGTTTACAATAAAATTGAGCTTCTGTAGGAGTAGAACAGTAATCACCAGACTTAACAAATTCCTCTCTGTATCACTTACATTCTTACTGAAAGAGCATATCTGACAAAAGTTATGTTTGACAGTAACCTGAGCACAAAGTGGAATAATTTAAACTCCCCCAGCAGCCCCTGGGGCCACATTAGGTCACTGCAAGTGTTTCCCCTCAGCCAATCAAGAGCTACAAAATCTGTGTGCTCTCTAATTGTAACTTCCACGCTGTGGTAACATGGTAAATAGGATACTTTTAAAAACAAATGGACCTATATTCTATTAAATCATAGGCTGGGACAGTGTTTGGGTACAAGCAAGGGCACACCTGTTTCTGTCACTCAAAAGATCATTTATTCAGGACTGAGAATCAGTCCGCTCCATGCACAGTAGAGGGTGACACGGCAGTGGATTTTCACTCCTGTCCCGTCTCCCTTCCACAATAAAAATCCCGAACCAATCTCGCAATAGAGTTTTAAAAAAAATCCGGCCCTGTTTCAGTCCTGGAAGATTTAATCCCTGGATACTGTACATCCCGATCCCAGGGGAGGAGAGGGAGATGATTTTAAGATTGCAAATGTGTGGTATTTTATAAATATTTTGCACATCTTATATACAGCGTACACTATTTTATTACCATAACGCTTGACTCTAAGAAACCTCCTTAAAATATCTGACTTGCCTGAAAGCTCTGAAAGTGAGATATTAAGATCATTGTTGTCTGGCACTGAGTCAATTTTTTCATGAAACGCAAAATCAAAGTTTAAATCATGCATTGCACTGGTCAGGTGGTACTGGCTACCTGTCACCAATCACCAATCAGCAACCAGCAACCAGCCACTAGCAGACAGGACAGTTTTCAAGACTTCAAAAGTCAACGACACAGCTAGCATTGTGTTCAAAATAAAGAAAACAGCGTTAATTTACATTAGATCCCCATATAAAACCTGGCACATTAATATGATTCCTGTTGACTTTTTTCTCGTCCTGTCCCAGTCCCGTGATTAATACTGAAACTGACCCACGATTTTCCCAAAAAATTGTCACCCTCTAGTGTGCATGACATGGCCATGATGGTGAGAGCTATGGGGCGTACAGGTTCCACGTCACACCATGAGCACGGTGTCTGCTAGCCAAGCTCACCGTGCCGCAAGTTACGCTTGGCTTCCGCCAACCTCCTTTCAGGTTTGTACAAAAAAAGTCTCTGCATACATCTTATATAGGAGGGAATAACAAAAAAGCTTCATTCTTCTCCAGCTGATGTCTTGTAACAATGCATCATGCAAAAATGTGGCATTATGTTATAACTTGACAAAATGTAACAAATTGAATGATAATAATAAGAACAATGATGATGATGATGATGATGATAACAAGAAGAACCACGGTCTCACCCCCCTTTCCCCAAACGTCCCCCACCTTTTCCCCCCAAAATCCAGAGCCTGCACATACCCATCATAGATACAAGCACAGATCACTTCCAGTAATGTGTCACATCCATGACATAACATAGCTGCACCACTGCGGAAGTGTTGCCAAAGCTCTACGCCCTGCAAGGGCGCTGCTACAAATCTCAAATGACAGACTGACAACTGCAGGCTGATATTTTATTGTCAGTCAATCGTCTTACATCAGTTACCCAGTGATACTGTCAAACCACCGAATGGAGTCCTTTCCCGTGAGGATTTGCGACACATGTGCTTCGTGTAAAGGAAAGACCAATAGTCACCCCTCATGGCAGAGCGGTTCGGAAATACAGGAAGCAGCCAGAGCACTGCCACTGCGAAAAAGATCATTTTGTCTCAGTGGAACTGGTAGGGAACTGGATTGTTCCTCTGCTCTTTAACGGAAAAAACTTTGGTTACATATGTAACACATAATGCATTCATAAAGCACTATAAACATTTCAGTAAATATGTATAAAAATGCATAAAACATTATAGCCATGTTTATTATGCATTATGAATGCTCTATGAAGCTTTCATCTATAATGCATAATGCAGTACAAAGCATCCTTAATTCTTATACTGACCATTATAATGCATTATGACAGTATCAATAATTCATTATAGATGAGAGCTTCATTGGTGCTTATGAAGCATTATAATCAACACTATAATGCCTTACAACTGTCAATATGAGATGCTGTAAAGCTTCATTAATTCTTATATTATAATGAGTTATTAATTAAAGTGTTATCAAAACTTTCTGTTCTCACAGTATCTCTTCTGGACAGTGCAATGTTCCAGTGACACAGGACGTTGATCCCTGTTTGCCCTGTATGAGGAGAGTAAGGCTAAAAAACCACAACAGGATTAAGGAGGTACATACCTGCTTCAGCCTGGCTCATCCTCACAGCTACCTGCAACAAGAAGGACACAGACATGACAGTGAGGGACAAAGTCAGGCTCTGAACATACAGATCATAAATTTTAGCAGAATGCTGTCTAATATTGACTGCAGGGAAAAAAAAGAATGTTCTGCCTGTTTTTATTAAGTGTCATCTTCCAGAAAGGTTCGTGGAAATAATCTGGGACAGCAGAGGACTGAGAATTTAAGAGAGGACAGGAAACTAGGATAAGAGCCAGCTGACCAAGAATGGTCAAATTACAATATAACCATTTCATCCACTTCAGCAACTTCAACATAAGAAGAAAAAGGGTCTCTTTCAACTGTCCATTCAAGAACAAAATGAGCTCAGTCACAGCAGCTGTTTTTCAGCCTTGTCAGATTGACAATCTTTAACTCTTGCCTGTCTATTTAAACAGTGGGATCCTAACATTTTGCAAACTGTATATGACCCTATATATTTGGGTTACTACAGTTCGTTGTCCTTCTGCGGAAGATCGACAGGGAGCTTTTGGGTGTGGCCGGATCATTAGGCACCCCAGGTCTTGCTCTTAACTATAAGATGTGATATAGAGCCTCACACAAAGAAACAGAAGGAAAATTGCTGCTTCAACAGTTAGTGAACTTGGTTGATTCCACCAGATATTTACTTCAACTGTAGAATGCTGAGTGGTTCAGCTGCGTCAGTGGAAAAAGCACTGCATCCTGCAGTGGTTATATGTACACACCTGGGGCTGATGATATACCACAATGCGTCAATAAACAAACAGACTGCAGGGATTTTATATAATTATCCACAGGCTTTGGGCTGTTCGACAACCTCACCATCTCAGCATTATCGGTACTCTGCCCCCAGTGGATAACGCCAAAGCATTCCTACTTGATGACCGTGAGATGTAGCACAGGAGAGTTGAATGCCTTAGCCACTCCTTATCGAGACTGGATGTCTCTTCGTGAAAATTTCAGGGACAATAGGCACCAGCAACTATTCAAACTGTCTACAAAATACTGAAAGTTCCTTCTAGGTCAATGCTTTGTTTACTATTCATAAATGAAAACTGCATACTGCAGACCAGACCTTAAAGGCTCAGTGGGCATTAGACTTGGCCAACACAAGACCTCCACACAACCAGCATACTGAGTGGATCAGCATGACACTACATGACTCTTCAAAGGCACTAAGGTTAGAAGATGATTACTGAACAGCCAATCTATCACCAAAACCAAGTGTATGAGATTATCAAAAGCTACTCATGTTCACTGACCAGAACTTTCATATTCTGTAACTTGTCCTTTTCAGGGTTGTGGAGGGTCTAGACCCTATCTCGGAGATTGTGGGTGGGGTAGGGAGCACCTAGGATGGGGTGCTAGCCCATCACAGGGCACTCAAACCTATAGACTATTTGGCTACCCCCAATTAACCTCAGCATGTTTTAGGCTGTGGGTGGGAGAGAGAAAAAATGATGACGTGGGGAGATCGTGCAAGCTCCACACATGGAATCCTGGTGGAGAGGTGAACACAGCTCCCAGCCATGTGAGACAACAGTGCTAACCAGTGCAGTACCATGCCACCTCAAATCAAAACATCTCACATAAATCAGCTACCTTCCCTCCATTCCCCAGTCCGCTCATGGAGTGCCACAGGTATAGTACACAGGTTGTTGATAATTTTGAAGCATACTGTCTTACAGACCTGTGTGACATTTTTTCTCAGGTGGGTAGAGGCTACTCTTTAAACCAATGGCTTTTTTCAGAAGGTAGAGTCTGAACAGTCATTCCTGTTCACGTGTCAACTTCAGCAGTCTGAGGGGATCTTCTTAAGGAGCACAATGTGAGCGAGATGGTCATCTGATGGGTGTCGAGGAAACATAAAGAACTAGAAATCGGGGCCCTCCCATTAGCGTCCTACAGCTGCATTCTCCAAAAGCCCCTTAAACAACTTAATTACACAAACCACCAGAAGAATTTGTATTTTAAAAGCCATAATGCCCTATAAGTGTTAGTAGAAAATTACAAGCCTATATAATCCTGGGGAGATTACTCTGCCCCCTAAACTGTCGCTGGTCTGCCATGGCTCCAGTAATCGCGGCTTGGTCGAAGACATTAATGCTGTCCATCACTCCCTGCAAGAACGCCTTCATGGCAGGACCGTGGACTTAACTCAGCTGATGGGTTTTGCTTTACCCACCCTATCGGGATTCCTCTCCCGCTTTCTTCCTCTCCAGCAGATGTCTTGTAACAACACATCATGTGATAATGCATTATGCAATGACTTGGCAAAATGATAAAAATTGAATGACGATAATAACAATAGGGTAATGTTACAATATAACATAATAATGTAAACTTATACTGTAGATACAAGCGGACTGTGTGGCCTAATGGATAAGGTGTCTGACTTCGGATCAGAAGATTGAGGGTTCGAGTCCCTTCGTGGTTGTGGTTTTTCTCAAGGTTACGTGTAGCTCAATACCCACCCCTCTCATGTGGTGGCCTAATGGTTGGGGAAGGGCACTTGTGATTGGAAGCTTGCTGGTTTGAATCGCTGACCAGCAAGGTACTGCTTCCCAGATGGTGAATAATGTCTGTCCACTGCAATGTCACATATGGGTTAAATGCAGAGGACACATTTCGTTGTTGTGCCGTGGTGTGTCAACAATGACAATTTTTCACTTCTATAAATTTGTAACATTTTGTCGAGTTATTACATACTGCGGTGTTATTACATAATGCATTGTTGCACAATGTGTAACAATGCATTATGTAATAACATTCCATTATGTGATGAAAATTTTGTTACATTTTATTACATAATGGGTTGTAACATGTCTGCGCATCTCTGTATAATTTCAAAAATCCACAAAGAAATATACAGATCACTTACAGTATTATTAATGAGTTTTGCAGCTGCTTTTGTCCAAAATGATATATAAATGAGGAAAGCTTGGGGCCAGGGAGCAGGACCAGCCAACATCTTTGGAACATCTACGTGACAGCATCTGTTTGACAGTCAGCAGTACACATGGGTGGGCCAGTGGTGAGACAGACAAAGGAGAATTGACCTGTGTCACTTTTCTTAGACTGACAAGCACCCTCCTAATTCCAGAGACCAATGACCATACACTGTCCATTCTTTGGTAGCCAATGAGCATACACTGTCCATTCTTTGGTAGCCAATGAACATAAACTGTGCCTAATAAACACCTGGGATTCCAAGTCTATCTCATAAAAGCCAAGGACAGCTTCAAGTTACACCCATTAGTCAGTTGTGCTAATTATAGCACTGTGCAGGACTTTTGAGCAGTCAAAGAAAATGCCAAAAGTTACTAATCTGGGTGGCAAGTGTATATTTGCTGAGGAAAAAGAATAACATTGTAACATATGCAGATTACAAGTAACACAATAACAAAACTAGATTTTTCTCCAAAAAAGTTACTGATATTTTGCAGCATGGCACCATCAGATCATTGGATGGCTGCTGCAAACACTGGGCTGACTTTAGGAGTGGATTTAAAATGACTAAGCTGCCACACTTTGACATCATGGCTTTACACCAACAGGAAGATCATTTAAACATCATTTTCTTTAACTGCCCAAGACTTTTGCGCAATACTGCATTGCATGTAGAAAAAACAGAATGTCTACAAAGATATCAGACAAGGTTTGACACAAATTGGTTTCATAGTCACATGGTAGTTACTGATGCATACAAAGCAACAGCATAGCTTATGTATGAGTGTTACAAAATAATGTAGCAGTTTGTTTTTTCTCACAGGCCTGACTGGACAGCGGCAGAAATTTCTAACCCACTAAGCTACAGCCCACTGATGAGTCAACTCCCAAATGTAGTGAAATTTCGGGAAAATTATTATTGTTTTTATACCAGTGGAAAAAAAATCGAACATTGAAACAAGACATAGATAATGTACTAAAGGTAAAACCCGTCTCCCCCTACTGGTGACATGAATGGTATACCCCAGGGGCCTTTCAAGACCCCGTGCTAGTGTATTGCCCCCATATCCATCATGTGATACCATCTGCATATTTCTTCTGTCATTACTAAAACTTTTATCCTTCTTTTCCTGCCCCAAAAGACCCGGAAAAATGGTTCACTTTCGCTTGTGTGTATTATAAAAACATTCTTTAAAAACACTAAGCTGCATCATATTTCAAAGTGGCCTGAAATAGTTGAGATCCCCAGAGCATGGTTTAATCAATCTTATCCCTTCATCAAAACATACATCAGATAGAGAAAAGTGCTATATTTAGCACTGCCCTCTGACATTTGCTAATACGCTATATCATATTGTCAAAAAATGGAGCCCGTTGCCATTTCTCCAGAAGCAGACCCACCCCAGCTTCCACCTCAGCAAAGTTACTGCAAAGTTATTTCAGAACAGCCCACTGTTTTATTACCTGCACAACTACTTCTGACACCAAAGCACATAAGCGTATTCAGACCACCCTCAAATGGATGGGGCAATATTTATGCCAAACCAGTCTTTGGTAGCCAATGGCCATACATTCCATTTGGCAATTTAAAAGTACTGATACAGCTGCATTTAACAGCTGATGTAATACCCCATGGTAAGGGCAGGACATATTATCCCACACTGACACTACATGCTAAGATGCACATAATAAAAAGATGCTTGAGACAGTTGACAATAGAGTCGACCCTTCCACATCGCGGAGGTGATTGGGTAGTCTTGTGGCTGGACGCCTAAAGTGCTGTGGGGTTTAATTCGCACTATGTGATGGACTGGCATGCTCTCCAGGGTATTCCCTGCCTCATGCCCTGTGTTTCCTAAAATAGGTTCCAGACTCACTGCAGAGTCCTTCAAATGACTTTCTGCAATAACATTCAGCCACATCGTCTTGCCGGATGCAAATTTGGCTAAACAGGCTAAACAGACTGCAATTATTTTTTAAGGGGCAGAAGATAACCATCATGATTAGGCAAAGGGCAAGCAAAAGTGAATGATATGGCACTCAGTCGTCTTCTTCACCTCCGCCCCCCATGGAATTTCACACTATACTTAATCACTCTTCAGCCCTTCCAATTCCATCCCTGCCTGACAGAAGCACTTCCAGAGCAGGCTCCTGTACATGCTGTGTGGAATGTCCTGACGTGAAAACTACCTAAACAACACAGGGAAAATTGAGCAAAACAAACTGACCTAAGGAGAGAAAGAGTTAAAAAAAAAAAAAAAAGTGAAACAAGTAAACAACACATATGTGAAGGGACAAAAGAAGAGGAGGTAAGTGGCAGCTGTTGTATAGTGATGACCTCATCTGTGATTCGTGTCTTTGCAGTAACATGTTTAACACATATTTCAAGTAACACCCCCAAAAAGAGTGACGTAGCCTGGGCCCTATAAGGCAGGGGTAACCTCTCCATACTGTTTATTTATAATTATTATCAGCACCCCCCCCCCCCCAACAAGGGTGACAGAAGGGGGCAGTATCTATATATGCACAAGTGGACCGCTTTGAGTCCCAAGTAATAGGTTGGGCACTGCTACACGTATGTATCAGCCATTGATGTGCATCACTGAAACTGCATCTACTCTAGGCTCCACTGGAACACTGTCAATCTAGTGTTAAACAACTAACATCCCTCATACAAAAATCCAATGACTAATCCTAGCAAATGCAACAGTTCCAGCTCTGTGGAAGGATTTTTTTCTCTCTCTGCTCAATGGAATGAATTTTATTTGGTTAGGAGACTGACAGAGCTGCTGTTCATGGTGTCACATTACAGTATACGATTATATCCAATTTCATGCAACTGTAGCCATGACTGCATTGCTGGTGCTGACTCCTGTCTGGACTGGACGGGACTGTCAACGTAACATACAGCATGACTTGTACAGCACGAATGGCATGGCTTTAACCAATCGTTATTCAATGTTCAGAGTGCAGTAAGGCGTTCGGTGACAGGACTAACTGAAATGGATTTTCTTCCTATATAGAAACTTGCTACAAAAAATTAAGTGCAGAATTCAACAGGGAAACGGCTGCTTCTATCTCAGAAATTCAAAACCAATATTCACCAATTATGGCTGCACGTCTCTGCCCTCCATGATCGATTACCACAGCAAAAAAAATTTTTTTAATGGTGCTGCTGTTTATAAGGTCTCAGTGAGAAGGTTTGCCTAGATGAGTTATCAATGAAACAGCACGAAGATGATCCCCGTGCGTGAAAATTGCAGCTTATTTCTTTAAGTACGATAAAAGGAGGAGGAAAAAGATGAGATGGTAACACCAGAATTAAAGGGTACATATAATGTAGGAGTACATGCTTACGTAGTAGTTCATCATTAGCCAGTCATAACAGTTTATGTATTTCATGCAGTTACTACATTTGTTCTTTGTACTTGAGTAGTAAATGAGTTACTAAGTTACTTGTGCCCCCTCCCCCCAAGTAAAGTGTTACTGAAGAGACAAGTGACCCCCAGTCAGGCGACCCCAGGGCTAAGGCCATTGCATTTGCCATGCCAGTGGAAGATGATAGGTGATGATAGCCAATGGAAAAGCAGCTGGGCGGGTAGCAGAGCAGCAGGGGGTTAGGTGGGCAGGACAGCAGTGCAGGGGGGGGGGGGGGGCTATAAAATGCAGCAGAGTATGCAGTCTGTCTCTCTGAGCGTTAATCCACAGTGCAGCGACACATAAAATGTGCAAAAAAAGGGTAAGAAACAGAGACAAAACCATACTCCAGATAAGGAGGCCAACCCATTGCTGGATACAGTGACAATGAATATCTGCATGCAGTGCACCAGTGACAACACTGTCCCATGCTTCACAAAGTCCACTGTCACAGGTCTCCCAGTCCCTGGGCTCTGCACCACTGGTCTACGCAAAACTCCCTCAAGTCAGTCTTTGCCTCCTTTACTCCAACTTACAGGAAGCCTCAATGAATTGTGGGTAGGTGAAACAACCTGACAACCAGGGAAAATGAAGAAACTGCTCAGATCTGGCCTATATCCCCCAGCCAGTTTCTAAGCTTTCTCAGATGTGCTCTGTATGATGGAAAGGGTAAGTAAGAAGCCATTGTCCTGATCATCAAACCAATCAAACTCACAAGATAACTTGTGACAACCTGTATGTAGCCAGCTGAAGTGCCAGAAGAGTTATTCATGTTGTACCTATTAGAAAGTCACTTAAGCTGAATAGAAACATCAAAATAACAAGAAGCACTGGGTTTTGAGAAATCAACTATAATAGTTACAAGAATCCTTCACAGTTCAATTTCCAGAATGAGCATCAGGATCAGACTTGCAGTGACCAAAGTGGTAAGTGTGCTACCATTTGAGGGTCTGACATGCAGGTAAGATGTCCTGATTAATACCCCAAGTAGAAATGACTACTGCGGAGAAATCTCCCAGACAGAAACAACTGCTACAAAGCCTTCTTTTAAATCCATCCTTCAGAAATATAACCTCTGTAAAATGTACTCTGATGACACAATAACCTCCTTGATCGTGTCCATCCATCTTTCATAATGACTTTTCCAGTCCAGGGCATGAAACATACTACGGCCAAACCCAAAACTTTAGGTGGGGTTGGAAAATTGGGGGCAGGTTTTTCCTCATTAAACAACAAATTAGATTCCAGGGCTGGGTAAACTTCTAAAGCTTCTAAAACTTCTAATCTTTATATAGAAAATACATAAATTAAATTCAAATGGGCAGCAGAAAATCATTTGGAAAAAACGGCTTCATATTCCAGGCAGAATGAAAATGTGTTCAAAATTAGTTTGTACAAGGACAGAAATATTCTGGTGTTTTGTGAAGTGGGAAAGTAACTCAGATGCCTCCCATTCGGCGTAGCAGAGTAAATATAGGAGCCGGACTTGTGACTAAGAGGTTCCAGGTCAAGACTCCAGTAGAGGAGCCACTGCTGTACTACTGCTATGGATTTTTACAAGATACTCAACCTCAGTAATGTCAAGCAAATAGAAAAACATATATGTGTGTGTGTGTGTGTATATATATATATATATATATATTGACAGTGCCAGTCAAAGGTTTGGAGACACTCGCCCATAGAAAGGTTTATTTGCACTACCATCTTAGAATAATTATTAAGGCATCAACACTATAAAACAACATGAATGTAATTATGCACTGACCAAAAAAGCATTAAAAAATTGTGATTTGTTGGTGGGGCTCTGTGGGCTCAGACTCAGTAAATATATGTATATTATATGTGTGTGTGTGTGTGTGTGTGTGTACGCGTGTGTGTGTGTGTGTGTATTTTACACACGAAGGCCCTGGGCTAAAGTGTGCAGACAAACAGGTCCTTTGGGAATGAATCCCTGTCTGTTGGGAGGTCAGTTTGGTTGCCCCTTTCTGCTGCAGCTTGTACTGTTTGTAGCCAGTAGAGCCTCTGAGATGAAGGATGGAGGTCCAGGCAGCTCATGTGACTGAAGGGGCCCCCTTTTTGGGTCATAATTCAAGAGCAGAAAAAGCACAGCAAGCACTCACGTAAATTGTGCCTCTAGAATGAAAAATGTTTCTGACACTCCAGTGATGTCATCCTGCGCCATAATGGTTAGAAAGTACTACAGGCCTCTAACCCCACATGCTATACATCTATACCCCCTGGCCACCTCCAACCCAGGGAATCAGAAGGTCCCGCTCCTTTTACCCGCCAGCTCACCTCACTTCTCTGGGCACTGGTAGGGGTGCTGGTGGGCGAGGAGCTGGTGCTCAGGGCCTCCTGGATGTCCAGATTGAGCTGGTCCAACTTCTGCATCAGCTGGCTCATGGACTGGGACCAGGGCGAACGCACCGGCTGGATCTCCTGCGGACATGAAGATGGAGCTTTCACAAACCAGTGCCACCAGTGCCACCAGTGCCACCCACCAGCGCCCATCTCCAGGGCTGTAAACAACACAGGAATTAATAATGAACATGGCTCAGAAGTGGTGTTTTATTAATGCTGTAACAATAACAAAAATCATTTTCCTGAGCAAAAACTGAAGTACATAAGTGATGTCCTTGCTCAGACCTGAGATTTAATATTACTAAGGTTTTTGTTGGATTGTAATCAAAACCCGAGACACTCAAGGAAATGCTTCTGCTAGAGAGGGCTGGGTTATGCTGAATTTGTTTCATTAACATTCACTGAATTATATTTTGTGACAAGCAGTGGACAAAAGGAGTGAGCACAGCTGCAGTGTGCATCTCCATGGGGGTAAAATGTGCATGCGTATGTCTTTCTGCATGTGTGAAAGTGCATGTTAGTGTTTGCATTTAGTATTTTTGTATTTGTGTGGGTGTACCTGATGGTATAATTGTGCACATTTTTGTGCGTCTGTATTTATGTTTATGTTTGCATGTCTGTGCATGAGCACATGCCGCTCTGTGTGCAGGAATGTGAATATGTGTGTATGTGTGACATACATGCCCGATTCGGATTCTGATGTTTAAGAAGCGTTCTTGGGTTTAACAGTTGTGGGGAATGTAAATGGTTGGGATCATTAATTGACTCCAGATTAAAGTAAAATGGCAGGATGGGGGGTAAGGTGACATGGCATTTTGGGGGGGGTCTCTTCGGATCTCCCAGACCACTCACTGGGGGCGGGCTCACCCATTTTGGGATTCCAATGCCAGGCCACTGAATCAGTGGTTTCCTAGTTTCTAGGAAGGGAACCAGCCAGGAGTTCCAATTAATGTCTCACATGGCTATGAGGGTGGGGCAGATTTGGCTCATTTCTGCCTCCAACTCACTCACTCCATTCAGGGGGTACAACCGCATCTCCAGAGAGACACATTCATCCATGAGAAAAACATTCTTGTGGGAAAAAAATAATAATATACCACATGAATCCCAGTACCAGAAGCTTCATGGACATGAGAGAAGCTTAAATGAAGCCAGGCTTACTGAGCTACCACAGGAATAGGCAGTCATTCTCTTGAAGTGAATATGCAGGATTTCCTCTCATCTTTAGGGGATTATTTGATCCCAGTAAGGAGTTAGGGGTTTGGGTAATGAAAAAGAAAAATAATCTCTTCTGGCAGTCCAAAAACCACAATTCCCTGCCCCTTCTGGTGATACCACAGGTTTTCATACAGCTCAGTCATACTGTATGGATCTTTTACATTAAGGTTTTGATTTAAGTTATTTCTGTCATGTTGTCAGGCTAGGGCTTGAACGTTTGTATGCAACAGGGACTAGAGTAGCAGGTCTCATGTTAGAGTCATGCCCCTAAGATGAGGTATAAGTCTTGCCTCAGAAAATTCCCAGATCTTCAGCACCCTTAGTGTGTGAAGCTTAAACTTGAATCAGCAAGTCGGGGGGGTCTTTGATCAAGCTCTCTGGGTGCCGAGACCCTTGGACAGATGCCAGCTGTGTCAACCACTGCCCTCCCACAGAGCTGAGCCAGTTAATAAGGGTCACCTGATTGGAATAATGCTGGAAAAGGCCTATCCCCACCTCACCATACCGACCCCAACAGAGCAATCAGGTCTTGCCCAGTGTCACTGAGGTCAGAAAGGTCTGGGAGGAGGTTGTGAGACAGGCAATCACCAACTCTTGGTCTTTTTTCCTGAAACACTGATAGTGTGTCACTTTTCTGCATTTTCCCCAGCTGCCTTTCAGACCGTGCTACACTCTTGGGTGCACAAGTAGGCCTTATTCACTATGATTCATACTCATTTCATTCTCACCAACCGTTCCGCCGACAGAAAGGGATGTTTGCTTTCTTCTTACTAGGATGACCAGCTACTCCGTGTCAGGCGGGACACTATCAGCTACTTCAGGTTTTACAAGCTACTTTATAGGCTCCCGTGCTCAATGAAATAGTTTGGTTCCTCTTGTGCTTTGACTGGTTTGTTTCCTTGCTTGAAAGACTCGTCCAGCTGTTTTACATTAACATTAGAGCCACCTGCATGATTATCGGAAACTGACCAATCAGTACACAGCAAGAACTCAGCGCTTAAGTGAAATTCGGGTCCTTTTCATTGAAATGACTAAAATGGTAGCTTACAAACCCTGTCGTAGCTCTTAGTGTCCCTCTGTCATGGATTAGGTGGCCCCCCTACTTATATGCACAGGACTAGTGTCCTTAGTGGACCTAATACCTACAAACGCATTTAAATTTATATTTAACATTTCTCTTGTCTTCACTTTATTTACACGCCACATTCCTCTTACGCTGAGGTACTAAAGTGGTCGGCTCTCCTCACACACTCCTGTTGGCACTTGCAGCAGCAGGTACTTAGAGGTTAAAGACCCGTGACTAAAAGGTCTCAGGATGGAAACTGCAGTTAAACCATATCTGTTAAGCAAATATGTAATAACAGATAGGCAGGCCTGTTCATATCACCTCTGCTTTTAACCCAACATCAACCTTGAGTAAGTCTTTGTAGGATATGTAATGAACAAGCACTGTATGTTTGACTGCTACTGCCAAGATTTTTACAGACCCTCAAATTCCCTTTGGTGACTCATTCAATTAGCAAATTGAAAACTGCACGTTGATGCCAAAATTCCATCTCGGATAACCCTGCACCCCATTTCCTTCTAATCACACTTCACTACCATTCCCAAGCCATCCCATAATGACTTTGTGCAGTCAAAGGCACGCTGATGTTTACAGTCCCCCTACCCCCCCCCTCTTTGTGTCCTGCTAATGCCAACAATTCCGGGGTCGGAGTGACGAGTGAGGACTCATCTCTGAGGACTTTCTCGCCGTCTGTGTTGGGGAGAAGAGCGACGCAGCTCCATGACAACAAGAGCCACTTATCACTCAGGCTGTCTGCTAGGGAGGAATCCTGTCCTCACTCAGGTGAACGTCTGTTACCACTATGGACTCCAAGCATTCTTATACCACTCTTGTTGGGAAGAGACAAAAAAGAGAACTCTTGACCTTTGACCTCTCTGCAGGGTTGCAGACGGCCAGTTCAGCTACCGCCGTGTTCTGGCGTCATGGCTGCGCCACTATATGACCGTCCGAGTCCGATAATCGGCACCAAGGGGATTAACGCAGAGACGGATCTGTCGCAGTGAGACTCCATCTTGGCGGGGGAGAAGAAGGGGGCCATTTCAAGATCAAACAAAGCGACCTTGGCTGACCTGTGGAGAGGGAGCTGGGCAGCTGCAGCTACCAGCTTGACTGAATAACAAAAAGAGCCTCAAGTGTGAAAGACAGCAGGATAGAGCCAGAGCAGGAGCAGCATGTAACAATGGCGCCCTCATGTGTCCCTAATGCAGAGTCACATAAACTGATCTACATGAACTACATTTCACAGCGAGGCTGAACAGGTGCTATTTTTATGAAGCGTCTCCGTTTGTGTAGCTACACTTGTTTATGGTTTGTTATTGTACCTCTGAGCAAGATACTAGATTGGAATCACTTCAGAAAATGCATTGTTATACAATCAATGTAAATTAACTGTGTAAAAGAGACCATTCAAAAACAATACCTATTATCGGTACTATAGGGATACATCAAGGTTCCCCTTTTGCTACTATAAATGGGAGTAACTCATTAATTTTAAAAAACTGTTATAACTTGTTTATAATTGTCTATTAATTATAGTTAATAATTATCTATTAATGATTTACAAAGTGTTACAAGCTAATTAATAACCTGATTATAAACCATTCATGAACCCTTTGTAAGAGTAGTCATTGTAATATGGTACCCCATTATCAGACTATTACCTCTGTAAACTTCAAATCAGGTTCCGGATGGTCACAGACCTCCTTCTACTATGCTTAAGCGGTCTGCATAGACTTCACACCATCAAAGCATTATGGGAACTTCAGCAGTGAACAATGTGGAAATGTAACTAAAAGGTTGCTTTGTAACAATCACATTACAGTCACCATTTCACAAACGCAGCAGGTGTTGAGGTTGCCGAACCCCAACTATTACCTCAGAGTTGACAGCCTCCTCGTCAGACCAGCCACAGCTAGTGGGGTCACAGCTGATATGTGCGACATCGAGCCTCCTTGCAATCTTGCTCCACTTGTATCTGCTCCTGCTCATACACCGGCTGAGGAGGAACTCCCTGTAGGACGGCAGCTCAGGGAAAACATCGTCATCATCGTCCTCCTCATTCTCCACGTTATTGTCATCCTCGTTGTTGTCATCCTCTTTGTCGTCCGTGTTGCTTCCCTCGTCCATGGAAGGTATCGCCGAACCGTCCAAGCTCTTGCTGACCAAAAACCTCGAGCTGAAAAGGTCACCAAGCTGGTCTCTGCTAAAGCAATTCAAGCCGCGAGGCCTCAACTTCCAGAAGCACTCCAACTGGCCATCTATAGAGGCACTAGGGGCACCAGTGTAGCAGTACTCATTGGGAAGAAGACAAAGATCTACAGAGCATCCCGATTTGTTTAAGACAGTCCCAAGTTTATGGTTCTGTGGGCCCATTTGCAGCACAGGTGCATCTAAGGGCTGATTCAAATACCTTGGCGGTTGAGGAATCTGGTCCAACCGTTCAGGGCGGCCATGCAGGGCATTTACATGGTATGGGACCTTCAGATCAGTGGTGGGGCTAAACTCACCAGAATTCCTCCAGCAGACAGAGGTGGGACATCGCATCCCTAGAGACCCCTGTCCCTCATTGACACAGTTGAGATCAGTCACAGAACCCAGTTTGTCCAGGGAACTAGGTGAAGCATGCGGCATTGTGCTAGAGAGTCCAATTTTTATTGAGCTTTCATCATCCCCTGATGTGCCATTATCCTCTTCCCGGGGCCTTGAGTTTGGGACGTCCTTTTCAATCTTTCGGGGGTCGCTGTAGAAAGACGTGAAATCCATACCATTGCCCTCAGAAAATGTCCCCATGGGTGATGCTAAAAGGAGCAATGGCTGCCCCTCCTGGGCATTGGTCGTTGTTCTTGCTGCCATCGCCGTCATACACCCTGCAGCCTAACAGCAGCCAAACAATGAGGCTTTAGGTGGCTTCCGCCAAGACTCAGTCAGACCATCTCAATGAGCAGCTAGTCAGCGCTTGGCTCAGTGCGAGAGCATCATGCATTCCGGCTACGTTGCTGTAGGATGCCACCTAGAGGAAAGATGCAGAACAGTAAACCTTGGGCACTTCACTGAGTTTCAACAGACTGCCACCCACGAAAATGGAAAAATGTGATGAAATTGAGTTTGAATTCCATACTGAATAAAATATGAATTACATTAGCTGCCCTCCAACCTCTACAGAAAATGATAAGTTAAAAAAGAAGATTATAAATATTTGATGGGAAGTGTAGTAACATTTGAGGGTATTGTTCACTTTGAATTTACAACGTGGACTGTTCTTTTGAGTTTACACAGTCATCACGTCTTGCCTGGTTAGGGGTCTCCTGTGTGGTATGTCTGCAAATTAGCCAAGACGGGAACCAAGTAAGCCACAGGACGGGGGAACAACATGATACCGTGTATTTTACAGCCCGTTGCCATCTGGCTCAGGACGCACTCGTCAAGTCTGGATCCGTTTCACATCAGATCCCAGTGACATAAGCGGCCCAAGGGATGATTTATGACAGGGTAGAACGCTATTCATCACACGTAGAATGTCCCTAGCAGACAGCGCTGCAGACCCCGTCCACCCCGTCATTAACCCACTGTTAACGGCTCACGTTTGCACATCTTTTGAACTTGCCTCAAAAACCAGAGAGCATCCAAATGGAATGCAGTTTCGTCCGTGCAGTTTTCAAGGTTCATTATTTACACATCAGGTACAAGGAGTTGTAAGCTGGCGAGATCCCCACAGTCTGATTCAACCTGACAAGTCGACAGCTGGGATTTACCTGATCCTTTGCTTGTTTTACTTGCTTATTTGCCATATAAAAGTATGCATTTACAAATTAGGCTTTTTTTGTACTGCAGCTGTTATCATTCACATCTGAACATCTGAATGTGTACAGCGTCTTCCTGAATTTAACATGACTTCTCTCCACGCCAAAAACGCTGTGTGTAAAATGTTAAAACGCCATTAGTGACATTTATGTCCCACATTTTACACACATAATGCGTATCTGATTTTGTGACCTCACCACTATGCTCTCCCTTCAGCTGCATGATGATTCCTAACCACAAACACAACATGGGAACTTAACAAGGCTTTTTTAAAAAGCAGATTAAATTGTAGAGAATGTTTATGAGGGTCTGTTTTTAGATGCTTATTCTAAAAATTTGTACCCTCGAATATAGCGAAATGTGTACACACATGGATGAGAGGTTTAGAGGGATGGACTTAGTGAGGGGTGCTGCCCAATCGAGTGTCAAGTTCAGCAGTACTAAGGAAATAACACAAACACAAAGGGACCACAGCAGTGAGTCTAGGATTAGATGTCTTCAGAGAGTCCAATCCAAACTTCCTAAGAATCCCCACCAGCCCTTTATCCCCAAATAAATGAGGAATAAGTGGTGCAGCAAAACACAACAGAAGTGCATTGACATCAATGCTACATAAGTTATACAAATGCAGTAAAAAGTAAAAAAAGTAAAAAAAACTCCATGGATGGACATAAATACTATAAATACTCTCTAAATACTCCATAGTAACATTCTTAGAGTCATCACACAATAAGCACGTAAACAAGGACAACCTCAGTTGTTGATTAGTTCTATTTTAATTTATCTGTTTTGTTGGGTTTTGCAAATCAGTGACTTTATGGTAAATAAATATCTTTACAAATTAAAGTACGATGCAGTGACACTGGAAAGGGATTGGTGCTGGACAGGTTATACGCCATAGGCCAAAATCAATTCTTCATGTCTAAAAGCAATTAATGATAAGAAATAATTATTTTAAAACTTTTAAAGATTTTAAAACTTGAATTAGTAATTTGGGATAGATGAACAGAACTATTTAAAGTCAACTATATTATTTGTTTGGTAATGTTAAGAAATATAGTTCAAGCTAAGTGCCCCAAAATGAAATACAACGAGATCACGTATAACAATAATAAAAAAAAAAAGACGAAATACTGAACCTACAGGATTCCATTCCAAGAGAACAATAAGAGCCGCTTATGTACCTGAGTTTTTTACCTTTATTTCACAGAGCTGTGTCTTTCCATCAGACAGCTGTCAGCCGGGAGGGTGGCTGTGGGATCTGGTCTCGGGGGTGGGGGAAGGAGGATGTCCTGGTGGTCATCAGGAGGAGACGTGAAACAGCCGCTGTCAGGACTGAGCAGGAGGAAACCGATCTGTGTCGGAGGCAGGCTGGTGGGAGTGTATCAGGCTGGGGGTGGCTGCAATGTTTGTGTGTGTGTGTGTGTGTGTGAGGGGGGGACACCCAGTCGTCACGGCTACGGCGGAATCCAAGCAAGTCATGGGACCGCTCGGCGTCCTCAGTGTCAGTATGTGCAAGGTGAGTGTTTGCGTGTAAGACAGAGAAGAGAACAATGTAGAATTAATGCTCCCTGCGTGCAGAGTATGGCTGAGTGTGAAATAAGTGTGTGTGATATTCATTACAGCTGGGGCTGAACAGAGCTACTGCCCCCTGTGGGGGAATTAGGAACTGATTGGGGGAGTGGATAAAGGGAGGGATTAGGGTCTGAAACCCCGCCTTCAACTGCCTGTGCGACTGAACCCTGCAGCCATGTATAAACAGGGGGATGTTTGTCAGCCCTGTTCAAAGCAAACTGGTTGTCTTTGTCGGTACATTTTTATTTTGCAACCTTTGGGGAAAAAAACACGGCCTTTCCCAGTGTCCTCTATGACACTTTAAAAATAGAATATTACTGGTCCTACTGGTCCATTCAAGATCATATCAGGGAAAGGTGAGCATTTAGGTGTCCTAACCTTGAGGAAGGGACACACACACACACACACACACACGAAAAGGTCACATTATACCAGGTGCCATCAACTGTCATGACTGAATACATGATACACTGATTAACTGACAAGCAAATGCTTTTGCTAAGAACCATCTAGACGCATCACATGTCCTCCTCGTGTCCCTTAAAGCGACCGTCACCTGCACCCTGATAACCAGGTGTGATTCCCTTCAAGAGACTCTGACCCAACGGGATACTGAACTTTCACCTGCTCCAATAACCCTACTTGCCCTGTGCCAGTGCCCACTGCAGACAGTATTCATTATGCAACTTCCACCATTTAACACAGTCTGACAGCTCCAAAGAAAACTGTTAAATTATGTTTATGATGACACAAAACTATGACTTCATGCCATTTCAACACCTTATAGAAAGTCTGAATGTCTCTGTTTGGCAATCGATACCTCATCAAGATATTTAACGGACTAAGTCCATTTATTAAGGTAGCTGGTAGTGAAATTTAACCAAAGCTCTGGGATTGCCTAGGCCCTAGGGGCAATCCCCGAGCGTGTCCCTGAGGAGTTTGTTTGGCCTTATTGTAGCATATATTATAATGTTTTAAATTCAGTTATTTTTGTTTCAAACAATTATACAATTCGTAACACAATAAATAGCTTTAAACATTTTCTCTCTTCATCTAAGACTATGTGTGGTGTGTGTGTGGTGAAGTGCCGCCACAGCCCAGCCGCAAAATGGCTGTTCATGTACAAAGGTCAGTTTAACTGAATGTAGTGTGAGGTGTAACAATTCACAATTTACTGTGTGGAGTCCAGTTTTGGCAGAAAATTCCTTTGTAGAAGGAGACACCAAACCCTCCGTTAATGATTTTCACAGAAGAATGCTTACTAAACTAAATCAATAAGACAGCATTCAAATATTTCAGGAACCTCGACCTTCTGGTAACAGTTCAGTTCTTCTTGTACATTTGAAGGTTTTGAGATGCTTGCTTAATTCTGTAAAAATGTTGCAAATGTATTGTTTTCATAACAAAAGTACCCATATCTTCCGCAGAGATTTTCATAATTCCATAGTTTTTCATTATTCATTCAGTTCTATTCTTGCCATTTTGCTGTTAATTGCGATCATACTCATATCAAAGAGTCACTAAACACAAATGTTTGGCATTTTATGTTATTGCAAAGGTGTTACTAATTAAAAAGCACCCAATGATGCTTGTCAATGAACTCACAACTTTGAAACTATAATTTGGGTTTCAGTTTATTACTACTTGAAATTACTGTTTTACTTAAAGGTACTGATTGTTTCTAATGTTATATATATTTTTTTGTAAACAAATGAATAAAGTAATGTTAGAAAACCAACAAATCTGCAATATTTTTACTGAATTAAGCAAGCAATCCCAAGACTTTCTATGAGCACTGTATATGTATAAATGTGACAGTCACGATAGCAGCGTAGAAGGATTTGGATGAGGTTGGCTTCACTTGTGCCCTAAGGAAGGCAACTAAGGATTTATTGGTATTGTCTTGTTTTCAAATTCCTGTCTTTATAGGTGCAGGGGGAACGGTACGTCGTGTGGCACTTCCTGTTGTCAGAGCATTGAAGGTCTCCTGGCATCTGCTATCATGAGGTATTCATTCCAAACATAGATTTCAGAGCTGCTTAATAGATGGTTGAGGTCAGCTTTACTAGTCATAACAGGCACAGAGACACACACGTGCACGTATACAAACATGTGTGGATGTACGTGCTGGAATGACTGGCGTTCACTCTACTAAGGAATTGCTCTTACGCCACTGGTTGCTGGTTCAAGTCCTAGAATAAGAACTGCCTTTGTACCTTAAAGTAATTAAACATGAACTGCTTTATAAACACTTGGGACCAATCACAGGGTCTTCTGTGGGGTCAACTCAAGGTCAAGAGCTAACCCCAGGCAGCACGGGTGCTAATGTGAACCCCAAATCCTGGAGCTGACTGCGGCTCGCCTTCCCTGTTTGACAGGATGGGACCTGCAAACAGGCCGTTTCCCCTGCACTTCAGAAATACAGGCCCAGCGGGGGAAGCAGCTGTGATGTCAGATGAGGAAAGTACTTCACATGTTATTTCAAGACTGTGCAGGCAACGGTGAAGCCTTGGATCTCGGATACAATCTTTTGTTCTTTATTCTTTACTTTATTAGGACCATCAATACACCTGTTGGAGAGACAGCGGATACACAAATGCTGGTAATTTGTGGTACTGTACAGGCGTGACAGCTAAGGAGTAGCAAACCAATGACACTACAGTCAACAAGGACGCCCTGGTGACTGCCATGCTCTCTGAATGGGGGATCGGGATGGGCAAACAAGGACATAGGAAAAACCAGCTATCATTTAGGCCACGCCCACCAACCCCACCGGGCCAATGAATAGATAATACATAGAAAGTACTAAATGATAGCTGGAGATCCTGGGAGTACAGGCAATGATCACACAATCATATTCCATTAAAAAAGTATCCATTTTCAAAAAGAAATAAAACAACCCTTAGGGCATTATGTGACACTAAATGTGTTTTCTTTAGAATACAAGTTATTATGAGTTAAATACAGGACAAATTCCTCATGTTCTGGATGCCATTTTGTAACTTGTTGGGACATGTCTGTTTACACGGGGCATCCTCCTTGATTCAGGTACACCCCTCCTCCCAACACACCTACAGGGGCTTGCTGTCACATGTACTCATTGTCAGGTGGCGCCTTCAACAACCCAACCACCCCCCCACCATAAGCCAGCCCCAGCTGCCCGCCTCCCCCCCCGATGTTCCTCACATAGGAGGAGACCAAACCCCAGTATGCATAAGGCACAAGAATGGACCAAAATGGATACATGGAGTATCAAGTGTGGCCAACACATCAAACATCACTAACCAACCTGGAAGCTTAGCTCATTGCCCCCAGTGCTAATCAGGGTTAAGGAGCCATGGAACTACAAGAAAAATCTTCCACATTACAAGTGGTAAAAACCCAAATCAAATAGGCTGCACCTTGATATGGAAACCTTTGTAAGTTTGGAAGACCCAATGCAACAGCCAACCGGGTACGCAGGCTTCAGAAGTCAAATGTGAGGGCTCATCACACAAATTCCATGTCATTTTTAATTCAGCTATGCATTATTTACTGCCTTGACAAGTTCATGTGCAAAAGCTTCAGAGAGGACAATATGATCTAAGACTTGTCCCTACGCCACGGTTTCAGGACAGCACCGGCGGTGATGCTCGCCTACAGCGCCACACGTTGGCTAGGACTGGTACTGCTAGCAGCAGACAGGGAGTAAAGGAGATGGTGTCAAAGGACTGGAGGAAGAGGAGTGTCGACACTCAAGGACGAACTCCAAGTATGAGCAAGACATGATTCATCGAGACATCGTGAATAATTCAGGCAAAAGATAAATGAAAGACAATGTAAGAGCTTATGACAGGCGATGTCTAAATAAGCAGAAAGACATATACACGCATAGTGTGGGAATTCAAGCAAATCAGGACAAGCTGTCCTTGTGGGATCACAAACATACACAAACACACAGCTTGTCCTGATCTGCTCAAGATTGTTCAACATGATTGAGGTGACAGGGCCCTTTGGCACCAAGGGTGTGTCACAGTACACCCTAAACTTGTTTCAGGTTGTGCATGATGATGGCTGATGATACCATACACAAATGCATATCAAGCCCCCTGGGTCTGCTTATCTATGCCTCTCATGGATGACTTACAAGGAGGGGATGGCACAAGTGTCACCTGTGCTTACACAGGTGATGTCTGGGGAGAAATGGGGAAAAATGTCCACACACAAAGGCCTACATGTGAGCACAGACACACACACACACACACACACAAAGGCCTACATGTGAGCACAGACACACAGACACACACACACACACAAAGGCCTACATGTGAGCACAGACACACACACACTTCCACACCCATAGGAGGCTACTGCAGGGACACTTTATAGAACATCCACAGATAAATCACCACTGTTTCGCTAATGGATCAATAAGACCCATTATTTACTTAAATAATTTACAAGTCATTAATTGCCTCAAGACTGCAGACACAGCTGATCCCTCAGCTAATGAACTATACCCACATTCTGAATAAGTGCTTTCAAAGTCATCTAAACGAATGGTGAAATGCCAGGCGAAAACGAGAAGGTCGCGTCGTGTCACAGGTCACTTTTGCAAATGATCATGACATTGAGAAACTGAGCAGCCAAACTTTAGCACTTATTTTCAAACCATTTTCCCAATTTATATTAGGAATAAAACAGAGCAGCCTTCCAGTCAGCCCTCATGCAGAAAAAGAACTAGGTTTGTCTCCCATTAAACGTATCTGTCCTACGAACGGGTTACATTCTCAAAATGCCCCTCCAGCCCGGGGCTCAGACTCCCCCAACAGCAACAAACAGAGCCCCCTTCATTCCAGTGGAGAGTGTTACAAGGATTTGTATTGACTTCAGTGTAAACAGCAAGACATCTCTTGTGAGGGTCAAATCTAAATTATGTACAATGAACAGGCAAGAGAATGGACCTGAAAGAATTAGGACTGAACAGAGCCTTTTGACAATACAGAAGGAAACCAAGGCTACTGGACTTTTGCACCATCTGTGCCTTTACCAAACTCCGCATCTCAACAGGTTCAAGAGTGATGTCATAGGCAGGCAACAGGCACATTGAAATGTGGCTTTGTATGTGCAAATGGCATGATCTGCATCTGCATTCTTTATCCACCCGCACGCCTGTTTAGATTGTTCCCAAAGGGAAGCTACTTTTATGTGGAAAGAAACAAGCTAATCCATTTGCGCACACACACACACACACACACACACACACACACACACAGCGTTCCCACAGGGCCTGTGTTGGCCCTTCAACACACAGGTACTGTCTGCCAAACGGTCACAGAAAAAGGAAGTGAAAGAGAAAAACAGATATGAGGAGATGGCAGAATAAAATTAGAGGAAGCTGGCAAATGGACAATATTTAGTAAATTCTTTTTTCCAATTGGCTGTAGACTGGTCAGCTGACCCCACTGACAAGCTGGCCAGGTCACCCAAATCCCCTGCGGGGCTAAATATTACAATAAAGCAGGCAGCATCTTCATGCTGCAGGGAGAGATGGAGACAATTGCATTCAAGCTCCAAAGTGATGGTTCCAGACAACATTTCTCAACGAGAAGAAGGGTGATGGACGTGGGCAGGCTGACAGCGGGGATACGCTTGGATTCCCACAAAAAGGTGGGCTCCTAAGAGACTTCGCACTGGGGACAGAGGGCGCATAAGGGCTCAGGGGACTGGCAGTTGAACGGGCACATTGAGGGGGCCTCAACAGGAGCTGCCAATCAGCCAACAGAAGGATCCCCACAGGGACCACAACACGATCCCAGGAAGTACCTTCTGGGCCAACCCAAAAAGGACACAACTCACCCCCAGCATCACCAAGTCACCCCTCTCTTTAGATTCTTGCATGGCATTTGCGACATAGCTCAAATTAGCCTTAGTATGATGGCAAGGGTCTGAGTTAATTTTTCTTAACTAGACATTGTGTGAAATCATCCTTCCTTTTTAATGGAATAAAAGAATATTCAACAGGGCAGTTTCTGCTTTAAAGTTATAGCCCAGAAAAACAAACCAACCAACTGGCATGACAGGGGGCAGCACTGGCCATTTCAGCTGGATCCGAGGCCAGAAGAGGTGTAGATAAAGGCAAGAGTTATGAGGGTGACTGGTACTCAGTCAGGTTGGATGCTACCACCTGTGAAGCAGGTGGAGGGGGGGCTTTGTTTTTAGCAGAGCCCAAGAGGGGATTTTCCCAGCACTCAGTACTCTATCAGTTTTACTTACACAAAAATTATCTGAGGGCAGAATTAAAAACAATTGGTTCAGAGAGATAATCAATCAGATTGTAGAGGAGGTGGGTCCAGGCAACTAGAGAAGGCAGGACCAAGACATCTGATTGGTTAGTCCCAATTCATCTAGGTGCTTAGATCCACCTTCACTACAATCTGATTGGTATTCTCTCTGAACCAATCATTTTTCATTATGCTCTCAGAACATCTGTATGTAAAACTCCCATGTGCTCTATCAGTGCACCCTGCCCTTGCTGCTTGGTTTGTGTGTTTAGGTGAAAAAGAAAAATGTGGGGAAAAAAACTGCCAGAACAATTGAAAGAGGGATCATGGTTTGTACCAAAAGTGCAGGACATCATTATGTAAATTATAACAATTAATGGCTTAATCGTGTGATTAAAGTAATTATGTGGAAGATCGGTCACCTAATCTGGTTTTGCAGCCAGGACCAGATGAGAATCTGTGCTAAAACCCTGTAAGTCAATGGCTGACAAAAGACCAAAGCAAAGAATCATGTGGTGTCACCCTAAAAAGTCCCAGACTATCCATATGATGTTAGGCAATGGTGTCTATCCCACAGCAAGCTTTCCAGCACTCGCACTCTTGATGGGTCTCTCTCTCAGCATGTCTCTCCTACCTTCTCCCTGTAGCTGTCCCCTTCCCCCCCCCTCCCCAGGCCCCATGGTAGAGCTCAGCCCCCCCTTGCATAGCTGAGGTGTGATGGCAGACGCTGAGAATCCCGGCGGCTTGCTCCAACAGGTGCAGCACTGCCACAAGCTGGGGGCTGACGCAACCCAAAAAGCGTCCCAGGAATTGTACGAGAGTCGAAATCAACGGCCCGGAGCAGGATGTCCGAGTGCTCAGCAAACAAACATTGAACTCTGGGATTAATGGGTTTTGGGGGGGGGGAAGTGAAATCACAATACGTGTAATTTGTCACATGTTCCATTCAAAAGCAAACACACGGAAATGTTTGACATTTCATGGTTTTTGAGTTGTTCACCATCAGCCTTGCTTAAAGGGTTATTCATAAGCTGAGAAAGGACTTGTGCTTCAGTCTGATCTGGTTGACTGATCCAGTCATTTCCAACAAATCCTGGTCACGGTGTCCTGCCTTCCACAACTGAATTACCTGACCACAATCATGCTGCTTCCATCACTGTCAGCCATGATAGGATTCTCAAATGCTAAGACTTATGTACCTCTCTCTTGTATGAACAATAACTTCTCCCTATCAAAGAAGTATATCTTTGCAATGTATACATTTATAGACATTTTCCCTAAATTCCTAGCTGATCACCTTCTTTCCGGGAATCATTTTCAGTTTCAAATTCATTGTACTTTATTATTTGTATCATTTGACTGGAAAATGAAGCCAAACAAAAGGGTAAAGGTATATTTCTTGGCCATGCATTCATTTTGCTTATTAAAAATTGTACAGAATTCCAGTGGCACACAGTGCTGTACTAGATTATTGAGACAACTGAAGATGTATGAAATTGTTTATGCTATGTTATCAGCCTCTTCATGCCTGAGTCAATTTTCAATCACAGGTTGTTTAGCTGGGACACAGTGATTCTAATGAAAAGTACTCGTGTATGAGAGCATTTCTCATGAACAGACACATCACTGGTTCAACTCATGAATGTCTTTGGAATGTTCATAGAAACCAGAGAACCATGAAGGAACCCAACAAACCACTGACCCTTCTTGTACAAAGGTAGGGTAGCGGTTAGGAACGCAGTTACAACCTGTTGGTTCAAGTTCCACCCTGGGTTCTACTAGTTACTTTGAACAAAGGTACTTGCCCTCAGCTGTGTAAATGTAAAATCTTGTACGTTTATTTAAATAAAGGCTTCAGCTAAGCATCCCGATCGAGGGGTGGCCTTTCTTATCCATAAAGGGCTGGTGTGTATGCAGGTTTTTGGGGTAACCTTTAGGTCAGCTGTTCAAACCCAGGTGTCAAATCAAATCAATCAATCAAATAGCCTTTTATTGTCAATTCACTATATGTCCATACCATACAAGGGAATCGAAATGCTGTTTCTTTCTCCCCTATTCGTAGTAGAAATATATAAAATAAAAAGCAGAAAAAAGCATAAACATATAAGATATAAAATAAATATGATAAATATCAATAGTACTAAAAATATTACATAGTAAACCTCTGTACAATGTGAGTCCTCTGTGTGAGGACTCTTCAGCCAATCAGTCCCATAATTAGTAATGAAATTAGGGAGTTGTACAAAAACTCACATACCCAACAGCCCTTTCTGGATTAGATTGGCCACCTCTGATATAACGGTTCGAATTGCGGAGTTCCACTTTTGCAATGCTTCTGTAGCAGTTCATGACAATTAACTTGACATTTACTAGCACAGCACAGCCCATATATTCATAAATATCCATAAAATGTAAGTTGCAAAACTTTCAGCTTTCAGAAAACTTTCATCGTTTTCATTTGACTACAGTATATTGTTTCCACTGTAAAAATGTGATTTTCACAGGTCATCTTGTAAAAATAGTAGTCATCCGGCCAATGTAAATATTCTTGCTGAAAACACTGCAGGTCTTCACAGCAATTGAATTAGTCACTGTTAACATTTTAAACTTCTACAGTGTGTTTCTAAACAGAATCATAAGGAGCATTTCGAGGCGGAGAGTTCCCTTTATTTAACGATGGACTACGTGATTTTTTTTTTGTTTTTAAACACAAACCTGCTTATCACAATATTCTGCTTTAATTTTACTTACTCGATATTTATTATTGACTACATTACTGTTTGTTCTGTCCCTCGATGTCCTACTCTGCAACTGTAGCATAAGAATTTCACTGTTTTACTCGGAACACATCTGACAATAAAATACAGACTATTTAAATGGATAGTGTAAGCACAACAATAATACTTCTCGCATTCTAACAACGTCAGTCAACTTTGAATTAAAAACATGGTTTGATTAGTTACATTCATCAAACTCATTCAAATGTGCAATTTCCGATCAAGTAAGTGATTCTTGAATCTGCAAAGTAATCAGGAATACGAGTGTTCTACTGCCCAGTAATTCGTTATACATAAGCATCACAGTACAACGCAGGATTTAATCCATACTGCCATCTAGCGCCTATAATATTAGGTGTAATTGCCTACAAAGTTAAAAGTCTTCTCATTGAACAAATTCCGGTCTCATTTGTTCTGGTTGGAAAGCATATGACTTAACGACGAGAGAGAACAATTAATAATCTATATACAGCATTTCCCACATAAATCAGAGATGCTAAATCTACATCATGCTTTCTCAGATCAGATCATTTTCCCCATCTTCCTTAACGTCTTAACATGGCTCACGGGGGACATGGGGGGCATCCCCTGAAATACCGAGCATGAGGACGGTAATTTCACTATATATACGTGCACACACATTCACCACACTAAAAGCAGTTGAGGGACATTAATTCATCTGCCCACATTAGAGACGCTGCGCAAACACGGTAAGAACAGCCAACCTCCAAACACGGGTATCGAACCCATAACCCTGAGCTTGTTTCCCAATATGCCCGGGTGCCGCCTTCTGAATCGCGGCTCTAAAGCAGGGTCTTGTTGAACCATGAACCTATCCGGGGAAGGAGGGAAACATACCAAATGCCAGCATCACATAGACTGCAGAAACGTTAAAGGCAATTTAGACACTCATCTAATAAAATGCTTTTGAAAATCAGAGCGTAGAACATGCGCAATGCGGGAAGCACGCGCAAACCCCACAGAGAAGGGATTAGAATCCCTATACTTTAATTTGTCAGGGTAGAGTGCTGCCAACTGAGCCACACTGGCACTGTATATATGTAATTAGAATCATATTAAATAATGTTGTTACATATACAGTTATTTACGGCGTGTCTGAGCGTAGGTTGTTCCATTTAGCTGTTCGTCATTGCTAAATTTGAAGGAGGAAACAGGAAGCCATTTATCATAATGACATTTTGAAACGCCAAAATTGATATTTGACCCTCTTGGGTCGCCGTACTTTCGCTCGCTGAACGGCGCGGGTGTATTGATGTTTAGCGGGAGAGAAAAGAGGCAATTTCAATTTTGGAGAATTAACTAGGTCCCAGTTAAACAGCAAAGCGCAGAACAATAACGCGTGCACGTTGAAAATAAATCAAAATGAGTTTATGGGTGGATAAATACAGACCCACTTCTCTGGGGAAACTGGATTATCATAAAGAGCAGGCGAATCAGCTGAAAAATTTGGTAAGAACTTATCAGTGAGATCCCGTGACTCTATTGCATTTTATATTTTAATTCGTGTTCGTAAATCAGAATATGTTCGTATATGTTATCCAGTCTAGCACCCAGAGAGAACGTCTTAATTTCGAGTAACGCGCAGATCCGCGCATTTTGTGAGCCAGATGGCTAAATGTGCATTTAAGTAGCTATTATTTTATAGATGCATGGTTCTTGTTTATGCGCGTCCCGATGTTTCAGGTTCAGTGTGGCGATTTTCCGCATTTGCTGGTGTACGGTCCTTCTGGGGCAGGAAAGAAAACACGCATAATGTGCCTGCTGCGGGAGCTGTACGGCCCGGGGGTCGAGAAACTAAGAATCGAGCATCAGTCGATCACGGTAAGAGGGCTTCGGGTGCTTTCCAGCGCTGAAAATTTACGGGCAAAGCAATGAAACTGTAACGGACTTGCCCAGTGTTACCCACTTTATTTGCATACAGGCCCCATCAAAAAAGAAGATTGAAATAAACACAATAGCAAGTAACTACCACCTGGAAGTAAATCCAAGGTAAAGAAGGAAACTATTTCAACGGGAATAAATACATACTTGCATTTCCAGTAGTAAATTTAAAGTAAATTTTAGCTGCGGGAGTTGTGCACATTTCACTGGTACGAAAACGTGTTTAGTTAACAGGGATGCCAACATTGGTCAGCTGGCTAGAGAGAGATTATCAATTAGAGAAGTCTGCGCACACATACGCACGCATTTACATGTATGTAACAGTTTTATTAACTTGTGAATAGTCTGTAGGGTTTGCAAACTACCCCAACATTTTTGATATAGCTAACTTTAGGTTTAAAATAGAATAATGTAGATTTGCTGTCACGCCAAATTGCGGGAGAGCACTCAACACATTTTGGGTCTCTGTCATGCAGCGATGCGGGCACCGGCGACCGCGTCGTCGTTCAAGAACTGATAAAGACTGTGGCGCAATCCCAGCAGATCCAGTCGAGCACCCAGAGAGAATTCAAAGGTGAACGCTGGAAAGAGCACCATCCTGCTCGCTGAAAGTGTATAGTTCTTACTGTATAACTGAATCTCAAACCCTGGCAGAGGTCCAGTCCCAGTTGCATACTTTTATTGTGTATTGATGTCTGGTGCATTACTTGCTAGCTATGCTGGTGTGGTTCTTACTCTCCCTCTTGCTCTGACAGTGGTGTTGCTGACGGAGGTGGACCAGCTCACCAAGGACGCCCAGCATGCCCTGCGTCGCACCATGGAGAAGTACATGGCCACCTGCAGGCTGATCCTGTGCTGCAACTCCACCTCCAAGGTCATCGCGCCCATCCGCAGCAGGTGCCTGGCAGTGCGGGTGCCTTTGCCCAGTGTGGAAGAGGTAAGCTGGGGAGCAGTGGAATGAGAGATGGTGCCTGGCAGGGCAGAACTTATCCTGCATCATTTAAACCCATATAAATGGGATGTTCAGGAGTATGGGATCTGTTTCGGGGAAGTTACACTCAAAAGTAATCAATTAAAGACAGAGGTGGAAAGTTCAGGTCCAGAAAGTACAAATCCAGACCAAGGTTTCCTTTCAACCGACCATCAAAGTATAAAGCACTGGTCTCAAACTCCAGTCCTGCCAGGGCCGGAGCCCTGTGTAGCTTAGTTCTTTCCCTGTTCCACCACCAATGATTCAGCTCAAGAGCTGTGTGGTAATTAGCACAAGGAGTTGAATCAGGTGTGTTAAACGAGGGGAAACCCAAAAATGGGCAGGGCTCCGGCCCCCCAGGACTGGAGTTTGAGACGCCTGGTATAAAGAGTCACAGTCACAGGGTACTCAATTGGTTGGTTGAAAGAATCTGTTGATTAACCACTACGCCACCTAGTGACCCAGGGGCATGTCACTTACATTAGCTATGTAGATTCATGGAATGTACAAGCACTTTTGGTGGAAATCAGTGGAGGATCTCCTCTCAATTCTGAAGACCTTTATACGGCTCACCTGAAATGCTCTCTCTGTCCTAGGTGCGCACCGTTCTGACCAATGTGTGCCGGAAGGAAGGTCTCTCGCTCCCGGGGGAGCTGGCCAAACAGATCGCCGACAAGTCAGGCCGCAACCTGCGCAAGGCCCTGCTCATGTGCGAAGCCTGCAGGGTGCAGCAGTGAGTCCGCCGGTTCGGGAGCAGGGCGGGGGGAGGTATCTGGGTTTGGCAAGGTCATGAACCTACAATGGACGCCTGGGCTTTCTCAGTAAAAACATACGTGTGTATAAATAAGGAAACAGATAGTAAAATGCTACCTCTGCTTCAGGTACCCCTTTTCTGCAGATCAGGACATATCTGAGACGGACTGGGAGGTCTATTTGAGGGAGACTGCCAATGCCATCGTCAGCCAGCAGAGCCCGCAGAGGTGGGCAGATTGGGTGCGAACTGAGTGTATCACTGGGGTCCAAACCGGGTTCTGTATTTCACTGTAAAATCGTTATTTTCCTGAGGCTATATTGTGAATCTGAAAGACAGATTTTCTGCTTAAAATGAAAAAGGATCGAAAAGCATGTAGTGTGTGTGTGTGTGTGTGTATATGCACCAGAGGTCCAGGTGTTCCCTGAATTTCGAGAACGTGCTCTTCTCACGATGCATGTCCCAAGGACCGTGTCCCTTTAAACTCACCTGGCAGCGAACCTCCTCCACGTTTCAGGCTGCTGGAGGTGCGTGGCCGCCTGTATGAGCTGCTTACCCACTGCATACCGGCCGAGATCATCATCAAGGTGAGGCAGAGTGGGAGTGATGTGCTGGGTATAGATGGTGAGGGGTTCTGGGGTCCTGCAGGCTCCACTCAGGTTGGCGTTATGATCCAGCATTTCTTTAGCATAACGTGCAAATACTGGGCTGTCTGCACCTGAATCAGTGCTGGGAGATGTGCAGCCTTCAGTCCAAAGCACAAACATGCTGCCAGTCAAAGGTCTTTGTGCACCACAGGTTTTTTTTACCACTTTTCCATTTATTTCATAAACTGCAGATGTTTTATTCTTGTTAAGCATCGGAAAGTTAAGTGAACAACTATAAATGAAAATAAGTCAATGAGTTCCCTTTTATAACATGGAAAGATTATGTAATAGTGCATGTCTGACATCCTACTGGTTGTGGGGTGTTGGCATAGTGCAATTCTAGGCTGTCCTTTAACTTTTAATGCACTAGTTAACCGTTTCATCCCATGAAACAGCAGTATTTAATGTCCCTTGTAGAAAGAATTCCCTGAATATGCTCTGCTGTTATAACTGCTAGAGGAGGTTACTTTGATGAATCAAAGATCGACATTTTCTTGCTAATAAAGGTACTCAAATGGTGAACATACTGTAAATTTATTTGTTCGCAAAGAATATTGAGTGTATTTTTAGTAAATGTTAAGAGTAACATGCAAATCCTGTGTGTGCAAAAACTTTTGACGGGTCGCATATCCCAGTGAGGTATGTAGTATAACCTTAGGAGCTCTTTACCTCCTGCTTAATGACAGTGCGCAAGCAGGATCTTGGTGAACTGACCTTTTTCCACTTGCACTATACATAAATTTTTGTGGACAGATACTTTAAGATACTATGGTAGGGCTTCTGTTTAGCCTTGAACTAGTAATTTTTGGATGCAGTTCCATAGTCTTAATTGCTATGGTACTGGCTACGCTTTTACAGGAATCAGAAAAGCATCTGCAGTTAGTGATGTAATGATGGACGTCTGAAAGGCATGACGCATACGTGTGTTTACCTTGGCCTTTCCCCCTGGTCCCGCCCTTTGCTGCTGCAGGGCTTGGTCTCGGAGCTGCTCAGCAACTGCGACGGGCACCTGAAGGCCGAGGTGGCCCAGATGGCTGCGCACTACGAGCACCGGCTACAGCTGGGCAGCAAGGCCATCTACCACCTGGAGGCCTTCGTGGCCAAGTTCATGGCCGTTTACAAGAAGTTCATGGAGGACGGGCTGGATGGGATGATGTTCTGAGGCTGGGGTGCCGCCGCGCTTGCAGAATGCCGAAGTCATCCCACCTGGCGTTCCTTGTTTTGCTCGTTAAGTCACTCATTAAAAATGAAACTGGCAGGACTGTAGTCCAGTGAGCTGGACATGACCCACTGGCCTATATTATAGAAGTCGTGTTAAAGTCATTTTGTAATAAATATTTAATAAAACAAGTGGTTTTGTGGCATGTGGAATCAGATCAGACGCACTATTATAGTGACCAATGTCAGTAATAAAGCCCCTTCATTTGCTTGTTTATTATATGAACAAATTACTTTTAAGAGTAGGAAATTATTACAATACCGATTTGTATTACATTCAGATGTGCACATTTTTATAAAATTGAACAAGTTAAACAGGACTGAAATAAAGTACATGGTTCCAACCAAAAACACTATCAGAATGAGTTCAAGGCACCTGTCAGTTCAAGATCAGGTATGCAGTCAGTGCCACACTCATATCTGTAAACCTAAAGCAAAGACCTAACAATTGTAAATTGCAGGTCAACTGTTTCATCCCAAATCTCTTTGTCACCACCATAATCTCTGCTGTTGTATTAATTTTTTTTTGCGAAAATCCAGGCCAGATGAAGATGCGAGTTGACCAGGGTGTACAAACACTTCCTGTAATAAATAGCTACACGCACAAATATCCTTACACTTTAGCTTCAGAGTATGAATCTTTCATAGTCTTCCTGTACGGGGAAAATACTTCGAGTTCTTTATACTTTGACAATCCTGTCGTTTGCTACAGAGTACAACCGAATAACTTACATTTACAAGAGTGCACTTGCATTGTGCTGCATTTTGACTAATCGTGGGGATAATTGAAATAGATCTAGCTGTCAACGACGGGAAAAGATAAGGAATGTCGTTTTACAGTAAGTTAATAAACAAGTAGGTACCTGACGACACGTTTTGTCCATAATTAACACTTAACTTATTAATCTACCAAGTATAGTTTGGTGTAAGGACAATAAACACGCTGAAGCACCACACGAATAGCAGCGTAAATTAAATTAATTCCATCCCGTCATGTTCGGACTCGAACCAAGAGACAAAAGCAGCGAAGCCGAGTTCCAGACTGGAAGCAGGTACCGTCCTGGAGTGTAAGGCAGCCTGGTTAATTCTGCCTCTTGGAGGTAAAGTAGACAATGAGACCGATGGTGACTAGGAGTGCGGAGCCCACCAGTGACAGGAAGCCGACGACCGGGCGCCTTGCCAGCAGGCGGCAGCCGGGGCAGCGCTCGGCTGGCCGGGGACAGAGCTGCGGCGCGGCCGTTGGCGCCGGGAAGCCGTTTCTTTCGATGATGCTGCGGTAGAGAGTCAGCGACGGCTTCACGACGGACTCATCCTGCAAGTAGCCGTACATGCCGAAGCCTGGGTCCCGCTGGTCGCTCAGGGCGTAAGCGAAGTAGCCTTGCAGGTTGACCCCATCCAGAAGGTACGCTGCAATACAGAGCGCCCTTTCAGTAAATGGAGCGTCTGTATTTAGTTGCAGGGTTTCTTAATAAAAGCTAATTTAAGCCTTCCGCTGTTTTAGGAATAGCTGCTCATCCAGGCAGCTCATTAAATTGAGTATATTTTGCATTCTGAATCAAAATTTATTATCCTTAAATGATTTGTTTAATTTACCTCCTATTACCGTTTACACAGATGCAAAATGATTGTGTTGGTGTTATAAATGCCGTAGTTTGTAATGCTTCAGTTGTTTTTGGACAGCACCCATGAACACGAGTAACGGCTCCGTAAATTATAGTGCCAAAAGACAATACCACCCATGGCAGAGAAAAGTTTATAGTTATAGCAAATCATTTAAATTATCACCGAGCCCCTGGAGTCTTATATTATTTAGTTGAAAAACATCACAAGGTGAAAACATGTTGCAATCCCACCATATTAGCAGTAAAGACAGTTTAGCAGTTTAACGGACGATTGCTGGATGATGACATTGACCTGGAAGCAGGCCTGTACAGAGGTGATTCTACCGACTCTGGGGGCCTTATGGATTTTTATTTTTTTTTTTGCCTGAGTTCCCCCAACTACCCTCCCCCAACATGGTCAAATTCATTACTATTATTGTGGCAAGAAGTCTCAATTAATAATATTAAAGGGAATTTTATAAATGCAAGTCCTTCAATTTCACTAAAACAGAATACACAAATTACCCAGATTTGTCGTTGCAATGTACTATGTAATCGGCCGCCCTCGGGAGCCCCCCTCCCAGCTCGGCGCCCCAGGCCATTGTCTGCCCTGCCTGTCCTGTCCCTACGCCTCTGCACCTGTACCTTATTTTGTTTGTGCCTGTGTCACTGGTCACTGTGTCACAGGGTGATGCTGCATGTTTTTGCCCCTGCTTTTGTGTATGCGTGTTACACGCGTGTGTGTCCAAAGCACTATCAGTCAGAACTCGAAGCACCCAACGGACACACAATCGTGTGTGAAGACCAGCCAACTGGACTCCGCCACCCGGTGGCCCCCGGTCCTCATTAATGATTACGTTAGCTACGTGGGCGTATTTGCCCCCTTTTAGGGGAGACAAAGAGTTCATGACCAAACAGAAGCCCTGACACCATCGAAAATAAATAAATAGGCTACTCTGGACACAAAAACAAGTCTAACAAGAAATCTGATTACGTTGCATATTTAATTTGAGCCGAAATTGCAATTAATTGGCAAGACTGGCATTGCGCATGTTCTGCTCTGGCACTTTGCTCCTTTGCATAAGTACTTTACTGGTACCTTATAGGCAGACAAAATAATAGGTTATGTGTGCATCAGATACTTTTGTTAACATATAAGGTAAGCAAGACGTTTTTTTTTGCAAACCCAACCCTTTTTCGCAAAATTACCTAGGTGTCATTTGTCATCTTCCTTCCCGTTCTGACAGGCTGATCAGATTGGAGCCCCCTGGGCCCTAAACAGGTTGCTTATGCCTTGGGCCAGACCCACCTCCATTGTATGTGATATACTTTGAATGTATGTATATATTGTTTTTTTTGTTGCTGTGGCTGAACTCACCCTTGAGGGCCTCGTTGATGTAGTTGTGGAAGTAGTAGACACGCAGGTTGTCCTGGAAGCGGGCCGGGTCTTCATCCACGCCGTTGGCCATGATGTAGATGGGCACACTGGGGTAGCGAGCGGACACCCAGCTCAGCGCCTTACGGAGGCCCCACGGGACCACGGGCGAGCGGCGGCTCGATGACATCAGCCAGGTGATGTCGAACATGTAGTGCACCTCTAGAGCGGACTCGTACAGGTACTTGTCCTCCACGGCGCCAGATACCATGGAGGTCATGAAGTGGCTGAGGGCGAAGAAGTCATAGCTGCCCCTAATGAGCCGCTCGTCCTCCCGGCTGAAGGCGGGCAGGTGGTAGCTGAACAGGTCCAGGCTGTTGCGCTGTCGCAGCCACTGCCTCATACCGACGGGGTAGTCGCCGCTGCCAAAGATGGGCTCGGCGAACCAGCCCACGCGGAAGTCCAGGACGCGGCTGGCGGGAATGACATCCTTGCGAGTGAAGGAGTAGGCGGGCTCCACCCAGTCCATGTGCAATGTCAGCGAGACCTTGCCACCCTGGGCCTTGCGGAACTCCCTGTTGTACACGTTCCACGCCAGGCCGTGAGCTCGCAGCAGGTTGTGGCCTACCTCGTAGCTCAGCTCCTTGCCGTTGGGCTCATTGAGGGTGATCCAGAGCTTGACATGGGCGCCCAGATGTCGGTAGCACAGTCTAGCATAGTTGGCGAAGGCCTGCACTGTGTCGTTGCTCTGCCAGCCCCGTTTGAGCTCCAGTGGGGCGGGAAGGCTGGAATGCTTGCCCGTATAGTGCCACAGACTCACCACGGGGGTCACGCCGGCTTTCTGGAGCTCGCTTGTGAAACAGGCATAGTAGGCCAGAAGGGTGACATTGGCCTCTGACACGTTTCCCGTGGGGACGAGGGAGGACCAGTTGAGGGAGAAATGGAAGTGGGATACGTGCACTCGGAGCACCTGTGCCACCTGGTGGCGGATGGAGGCGTAGTCGGCGCAGTGCCTGACTTGGCGGGTGCGCGCTGTGCCGGGCTCTTCCAGGCGTGTCAGCTCCCCGTTTCCGGACATGTTCCAGATGTACACGTTGGGGTCGGCAAACTGGGACGCCGTGGTCTCCACCTGAACACCCAAGC